CATGCCTCTTTGGAGAACGCTTCTCTTCTTCCCTTCCCTCATCTATTTCCTCCACCTTTCCCGCTCTCCTCCCCATTCCCACTTACTGAAATGCCAAGTACCCATCAACTGCTCTGTTGCTGCATCTTTGGTACCTCTCTTGAAACCCTCACCACATTCTGCCTCCACTCACTAATTTAATTAAAAATACAACCCCCCACATCACACTCTTTGTTTATTGAGGGTAGGTTCCATGTCACCTCCAGTACCTGGACAGTCAACATGTGGATAGACTGAGATAGGCTGCTTATCATGGCAATAGTTATTTATTTCCTAATTCTTAGATATAGTGTTATAAGTATGGAGCTCTATGAGCTGAGCTAATTTCCAGCAGATCATTTTATTTTAAAATTAGAACTGAAGAGCATATTCAGCATGTCTGCGTGAATATGGATACAGATGGTAAAAGAGCTGAAAGTGGCTTTTTTGAACATAGAGAGTAGAGTGTATGGGATACTTTTGCTGCCAGTAATAACAATAACAACAAAATGGCCCCAATTCAAAATGGTTTAGTTAACAGGGAAAATGCATTTGATGTGCCTAGATGCCCTGTTATGAGATGCCTTCAGAGTTGGTCAATACTCTTCCCTACCATAAGTAGAAACACAGAGATTTCCCTCCTTTCCTCCAGATATCCAAAGCATGTCGGTTTTATCCTCAGGTGACCTCTTCTCATGGTCCTGGGATGGCTCTCATAGTTCCAAGTGCCATGCAGACAGGACTGCTATTCTGTGGCCTTCCTTCATCAGCCATCACTGTTCCTGGAAATACTCTAGCTCACTTCTCTCAGTGTTGGAGTGGCCAGAATCATATTATGTGCCCTTCCCTAAACCAATCAGTGGTGAGAAGAAATGGTGCCCAGTGATAGGATTTATACTGGTGTTGGGGCTGGTCATTCTCTGTGGGTCATGTGGGGACAGGCAGAATGCCCAGGTAAAATTACATTTCCTTCTATAAGGGAAGAAGGGCAGCCAGTGTGTCTGTTGCTGTTGCCACCTGTGTGTGGCTATAAATGGAAAAAGCAGGCTCTCTGTGGCTATGTTAACCGTGACTGTGGAGATGGATGGTTGCCGCTGCTCTGTCCCTGGCATTTCTGGTGGGAGTGGAACCTTCTCCCCAGGCCGCCGTCACTCACCTGAGGTACAGGGTATACTTCCTGGACTGAGGACAGCTTTTCTTTTCTGGACCTACTTTTCTTTCTTCACAATAGCCAATTCTACCTATGGAATATTTACTGCTACTTACACATGGTGGCCAGGGAGATCTGTGCGTAGAGAGTGGCTCTCTTGTCTAGTGTTTTGGGGAATGAGGAGATCATTTATTCCTGAATTTAACAGTGCCTTTGCTGGGCATGGTGGCTCACCTCTCTAATCCAAACACTTTGGGAGGCTGAGGGAGGAGGATTGCTACAGGCCAGGAGTTTGAGATCAGCCTGGACGACACAGTGAGAGCTCATGTCTCTCCCAAAATATTAGCCAGGCTTGGTGATGCATGGCTCTTATTCCTATAGTTTGCGCTACTTGGGTGGCTTAGGCAGGAGGATCACTTGAGTCAGGGAGGTCCAGGCCGCAGTGAGCTGTACTGGGAACACTGCACAGCAGCCGGGATGACAGACAGGACCTTGTATCAAAGAAAAGAGAAAGAGAGAGAGAGAGAGAGAGAGAGAGAGAGAGAGAGAGAGAGAGAGAGAGAGAGAGAGAGAAAAGAAAGAGAAAGATAAAGGAAAGAAAGAAAGAAAAAGAAATGAAAGAGAAAAGAAAAGAAGGGAAAGGAAGAGAAAGAAAAGGAAGAAAAGGAAAGAAGGAAAAAGAGAAAAGAAAGAAAAAGGAAGGAAAGAAAAGAAAAGTAAAATAAAACACAGCGCATCGCATCTTCACCTGGACCGTCCGCAGCCCCGTCTCTCTGGAGTCAGACCTCTGAGCCATAGTTTTCAGATGAGCAAACTGAAGCCGAGAGAGGTTTTGCTGGCTACCAGTGGGTCAGCACAGACACGGGGCTCCAAGCTCAGGCTCTTTCTGCCTCACCACGGCCGCTTAGAACATGACGCTTAACCTTCAGGTACCCAGACGTGTTCAGCTTTGGCCATTTCCAGTCCAGTTTTCCTGATGATCCAGCGTCGTCTTCTGTCTTTCCACGCAAAACACGAGCCTGCCCTAGTCCCAGGGGCCAGGGGCAGGGCCGGGAGTCTCTCTGCAGGTCATGGGGCTCCTTGGCCTTGGCTTTCTGCTGTTGCCGGGGTAGGAGCGATTGAGCTGGGCTGGGCAGACTGTGCTCTTACCAAAGTTCTCAAATGGCTGTATTTTTTGAGTTCTTGAGTCTGGTTTGCATAATTTTCTGACTTCTTTGCTTTGATGAGGCCAGCTGTCACCTCACGCGGCTGGTAGTGTGCCTTTCTTTGGCAAAGCTTCTCTTCCCGGACTTTGTGACATCTTTTTGGATCCTTTGTGGCTTCTCAGCTGTGTTATGGATAATTTAGGTTGTCAGGTAAATGCCCTCAGGATAAATGAAATATTAATAATGCCATAATGCTAATTAAAAAAATACCCGTTGCACATATTTAAGAGAATCCTCTCTGGGCTTCACTCTGGGCTTTAAAGCAGACCCAACAATGTCTCAACCATAAATCAAATTATCCTTTCAGCCTAGTAGACGTTTTGGCACAGAAATCTATAGAATAGCATAGTATAGGAAATCTTAGTTCATACTTATTCTTATTCCCTTTGCAGAAGTTGAAAACCAAATACTCTTTTAACCACTTAACCATGCAAAACAGTTAACCAAGCAATAGTCAATATTGGCTTTTGGATTTGGGGAACACTTTTTAAACTCAGGATTTGTGCAGCTTTGCAAAGCATGATCTACTTCTCCTTCGCCCCCAACCCCGTCCCCTTGAGCATCAGGCCATTCAGTAGGCAAGGCCATCTCCTTGGGCCAAGGTATGGCTGGATGGAAAAAGAATACATTACAGTGAAATAAATGCTTTAAAAGCATGTTTAGGATTATAAAATGATTATTCCTTAGCTTGCTTTCCTGATTATAAAGATGAATATTATTGGTTTAGAAAATTTAGAAAACAGACAAAACTATAAAGAAGGAAGTAGTTCAACATTTCAGATGCTACGTGAGAGGATACACTATGTGTCTCTCTGTGCCTGTCTTATTTCGCTTAGCATAAGGTTTTCCGGGTTCATTCATGTTGTCATAAATGACAGGATTTCTCCTCTAAAGGCTGAATAGCATTCCATTGTGCATGTGCACTGCTTTTCTCTATGGATGTTTATGCTGATGGACGCTTAGGTTGATGCCATGCCTTGGCTGTTCTGAATAGTGCTATAGTGAACATGGAAGTACCTTTTTGACATACCGACTTCATTTCCTATGGATCTATACCCAGAGTGGGATTGCCAGCAATCATATACTATTTTGATTTGTAATACATATAAAATTGATTTGTAATACATTTGTGAAACATAGAGTATTTTGATTTGTAATTGATCTTTGTGTTCTTGAGGACCCTCCATACTGTTTTTCATAATGGCTATGCTGATCCACATTCCCTCACAGTGGGCAAGACACCCCCACCAACACTTGTGATCTTTTTGATAATGGCCATTTTATCTTGAAAATCACTAAGAGTAGATTTCAAGCATTCTTGCCGCAAGAAAGTAAGTGTGAGGTAATGCAGATGGTAATTAGCTTACTTTAGCCATTCCAAAATGTCTATATATTTCAAAACATAATGTTGTACACAGTAAATATATATAACTTTTATTTGTTGGTTTAAAAAATAAATGACTTTAAAAGGATTTAAAAAGAAGCAAATAAGAACTCCCATTTCACACTGGAAACCAGACCCAAAGACCATGACTGTTCCCATTATGGTAACTTCTCTCAGGTCTTCTTCTTTCCATTCCTGCCCTCCCTCACTTCTTTCATCCATTTGCTATTTTTTTTTCTGTGCAATATTGGGATGATATTATGTATGTGGTTTTTTTTACCCTAATTTTTTTCCCCAAGAATGTTATGTTGTATTCTCTGTATCACAACAAATGCTTTTCTGTGAGATCTGGGCAATTTGGATTAAATGTCTCTGTGTATAGGTTTGGAAGACTTCAGGAGGAGTTGGCTGGGGGCTTCCTAAGTAGAGTGGGAGTGTCAGCTGGCCTGTGGAACCATTTAGAAATAAATCTGCCCATTACAAATATTGATTTTGATGCAGTATTTAAGAAATTTTCTAATTTAAAAATATTTTCAATGGAAACAGATGCCATTTACAATTTTTCATGTTGTAAAGTTTCTACTAAATATATTTTGGGATTGAATATTTTACTTGGAAACTTGTTTAAGAAATTCCCATATCTAAAAAAAAAAAAAAAGGAAAAGAGAGAGAGACTGGATTTTGAATCTGTGCTAACAGGCATACTGTAAAAAATATTTTTTTCTTTCTATCTTTTTAGCTTGTTAGTGTTCTAAGATTTTAAAAAATACAGATTCTCCTAGCATTTACAAATTAAAAGAGTTGTTTCTTTTCTGGGACTAAGACAATCGCTTAATTATAGTTCTCAGGATGTTTTCTAAATTCTAAATCCCTCTACCCTGTTTTTAAGCAGCAAAAAGTGCTAACAGAATTATCTGGGGAAGCCATTATTACCAAAAGCTGGGGGCTGTAAGGAAAAGAAAACATTTTCAAAATATTTTCTGTGCAAAAGAGTGAGTGTGCTTCAGCATGCCAGCCAGGCTTGGCCTCAATTTCGCTCTCAAGTTTTGCTTCATAATGCTGAGCTTCCCTCAGAGGAGAGGAATGTTGCCCCCTCTTTTTTTAAAGGGAAGGATTTAAGTTCTTTCCCCTTTTAGGATATTTTAAAATAATGTTTAAGAAATAGGTTTTGTCCCTACAGTTGATCCTTGGTATTAATATTTGAAAACAAAATAAGGCTTAATATTCTTAAACTTATATTCAGGTTATTCCAGGATCTCGGGAGACCCAAAAAAAGCCTTGTTGACCAAAAGCAAGACCAATGACTCACAGAGAAAAAAGATGGCGGAACCAAGGGCAATTAAAGGTAAAACGAACAGAACCCAAATAATCCTACCCTGCCTAGTCAAGACTGTTTAAAAATGTGAATACGTAAATATTTTGTGTCTTTACTATTTGATGTTTGTGGTTCCAAACCTCCACAGACCATATCTGGATCCTTTGTTGTACTTGGATGGCTTACGGCTTATGTTGGTTCTACGTGGCACCCTTGACTTACCCAGCACTGCCTGTTCCTGCCCCTGCAGTGTGGAGATTCTAGAATTGCTGCCTTCTCACTACTGTGGTCTTCCCAGCTACTCTTTTCCTCCACCACCATCTACTCTCTTCTCCCTTTTTTAGAGGAACCAGAGGCTCGGTGTCTGCAGACTGGTGCTTTTACGATATTTCCAATTTTTTTTTTAATCATGAATACTACATTTGGTTTATAGTCATAGTTATTTCACCTGCATGCAATTGAAACCTCATTTCAAGGGGCACACCCAGGCAATGAGTCTTTGTAGTCACAAAACATGCCAAAAAATAAAAATAAAATCCCACTGGAGAAGGAGAAGGTCGATATCCTTTCTCTAAGGCACGCCCCGGAGGCCAGCTAGGCTGTGAGGACTCCCTTGGAGGAGGGGCACTGAGGGGAATCAAGGTTATGGGGGTGCTCACATGACACTCATGTCGGCCACAGAATGCAAGAGCTCCTCCCCTGCCAGAATAAAGCCAGGATCGATTCGTAGAAGAAATAACAGTCCTTGGAGCCTGAGACATGCCTTGACCAGCGTCAGGGTCCAGTGAGAGACGGTGCAATTAAAAAAAATATCATATGGCTTCTGAGGCCATGACCCCACCGTGAGGCCTGTAATCTGCAACAGTTAAGTGATTTTAGTAAGTCCCTCAATAGAGGTGTTTCCTCTCCCAGCGCTGCTGTAACAGAGCGCCATGAACTGGGTAGCTTAAAACAACAGAAATGCATTGTCTCACCTTCAGGAGGCTGGGTGTCCAAGATCAAGGTGTCAGCCCGGGTGGTTCCCTCTGTGGGCTTCGGGGAAAATCTGTTCCAGGCTGCTTTTGTCTTTTCCCCGTGCCGTCACACCATCGTCCTTCTATTCAGGTCTGTCTTTAAATCCTTTCTGTCAGTGCATCAGCCATGTTGGATTAGGTCACTAATGACCTCACTTTAATTTGATTGTCCCTGTAAAGGCCCTACCTCCCTATGGTCACATCCGGAGGACTGGGGTTTAGTATTCCAACACATGAACTGGGGGAGAGAATTGATACAATTCAATCCATAGCTGTAAGTGTTTTTATTCATTTGGAAAGATGAGCCATTTCCTACCGAAGAAGTCCAGTTTCTTATTTTTAGATAAATGTAGAGGTCTGTTCGGTTTCTCATGCCGTCTTCCATCTCCTGCTGGTACTCCCTGCTTCGCTTTGGAGTGCCGGAGCCAGGGCTGGACTGGGTTAAGGCAAGTGGGGCACAGGACTTTGGGTGGTGCTCCCCTTCAGGTGCTGATCCTGCACCTGCATGAACCTGAGAGGGAGAGCCTCCTTAAATCATGGGCCCTGCGTTCCTTCCTGCCTTCTTCTTCCTGTTCCATAAGGGAGGACTCTGCCCCAGTCAGGGGCCTGGCATGCTTGGCGGGAATCAGGCCTGTGCCGTTCCTATGGTAGGATTTGCTGGTAAAAGACTGATTTGCCTAATACCTACTCATCCAGGACAGGAGCACCCAGCAACCAATGCATTCAGGGAATAGATTCATTTCTATGAATCCTAAATTATTTAGAGCCATTTTGTCTAAAAAGTTTTCACTTAACGACTAGTTAGCTTAAAACTAAAAATTAAATTTCTAAATTAAGGATGTTTTTAGTCAGTTGACAAAGGGCTCTTATGAAAGTCAGCAATTTATTTATTGAGAATTATTTTTCTTAAAAACTTGAAACATTTTAATTAGCCAGGCATGGTGGTATATGCCCGTAATCCCAGATACTCAGGAGGCTGAGGTAGGAGGATTGCCAAAACCCCAGAGGTGGAGGTTGCAGTGAGCTGAGATTGCACCACTGCAATTTCTGTCTCAATCTCTGTCACCCAGCCTGGGTGACAGAGCGAGACTCCCTCTCAAAAAAAAAAAAAAAAAAAAGTTGCAACATTTTATACAGTATCGAAATCATCCATTTGAAATATTTTTGCTTTCTTAGTAATAATACTTACCACTTGTTTAATGTTGATTATGTGTCTAGCATTGAGAGAGGTTTCTTTCTTAGGCATAATTCAATTTAATCCTCACAAAAGCCTGTTGGTGTAGACGGAGATGATCAAACAATGGTTTAACTTGCATACTGACCAGTTAGAATAGACCCAAGCCAACTCTTGCACAGACCCCTTTGTGAATTGCTGAACATCATCTGGAGGTCTTTAAAAATTTTTTATTTTTGTCTCCCGGCACCAAATACAGGTATTGATTGACTTATGACCTGTGCAACTTACGACCATTTGACTTTACGACCACAATCGCTAGCCACGACTGCTCCGCGTCTGGCAGCGCAAACGTTGCCCAGCTGGGCGTACGACAGTGCGGACTAGCTTCTGGCAGCACTACCATCTCCGCGTGCACCATTTCAACTGTACACAGAGCCTACTCAACTTACGACCAAATCGTGCTACGACCCTTCCGCGGTCCCGACCGTGGTCGTAAGTCAAGCAGTAGCTGTGCGTGGTGCCTTCGCCAGTACCAACCAGTCCTTCAACACGGATACCAGCTGCGTGTCCAACAGTTCAATTCAGTCCTGACACTGACAACCTGAAGTTTGTGTCAAATTCCACAGCTTTAATGGCTAAGTTCTCCAACCCTGCCCTCACTTCAGATGCCAGTTGCAAGTATTGGGTCCCCAGGTTACCCTACACCCCGTCTGACATGGCTACAACATTGGCGGTTCCCACAACCCCCCCAGCCCCCCGTTTTTAGGTTCAATAACTTGCTAGAACTCGGGAAAACGCTATGCTCTTATGATGCAGTTTATTGTTAAGGATATGAATGAACAGCCAGATGAAGAGGAGCACAGGGCAAGGTCTGGAAGGATCCCAAGTACGGGAGCCTCTGTCCCTTTAGCATTGGGGTGCACCAAACTCCTCATACCAATGTGCTCACCAGCTCAGAAGCTGGCCTAACCCTGTCAGGGTATTTTATGGAGGTTTTGTTACATAGGCAGGCTTGATTAACTCGATTTCCAGCCCCCCTTCTCTCCTGAGAGGTTGGGAGGTGGGGCTGAAAATTCTAAGCATCTAATAAAGACTCGCTCTTTCTTGCAGTTAGCTGCCATCCTGAAGCTCTCTGGGGACCCCCGCAACCTGTTGCCTTCTTAGAACAAAAGACGCTCCCAACACTTGAGAAGTTCCAAGAGTTTTAGGAGCTCCATGCCAGAAACAAGAGACAAGGGCAAATGGATTTCTTAGTATACTACAAGAATATTATCCCCAGTTTGCAAATGTGTAACTAAGTTTCGTGGAGGATAAAGTGATCATTTCTAGGTTTCCCAGGAGTAAGTGGCAGATGTGGTTTCTACCCCTCACCTGGCTCTGCACCTGTGCTCATACTGAGTGCTGCCCCTTGCCCAGGGCCCTGCCCATGCCTTCTGGACCCCGCTCCCGCCCTCTTCAGCTGCACTCAGCACCATTCCAGACCACACCCCAGGTGCCGGGATACCCAAAGCTCCTTTCCGAACTGGACTGAACATCTTTTGGGTTGCACCAACCTCTTTCCTGGAGTTCATCTTCTTGGGAAGATCTTGTATGTGTTTTCCTGGGTCTGAAGGAGGAACAGGGAGCATTGCTGAATGGCATGTGGCCATGTGGATCGGGACGTCCACATGACTGTATGTGTCCCCTAGCCTACAGGACAGAACTGGGTTTGAGAAGAGAGGAAGGGTAGGGTCAGGGGGTGGGGAGGGGATCTGAAATTTCCATCTGTTTCCTTGCACCAGCCCCGCAAATAGTTAAGTCTTTTTGTGACCATTTTGCAATACTGCCTCCGTAATTACAAATGCTTATTTTCCTTTCTGTCTGTGTATCAGCCCATCTTTTATGCAGTTAGAGCTTAGGTAATTCGAACCAAGTTTGTTTCTATTTAGTAAGATGTTGGCATTTTGCAAACAAAAACAAAGAAGTGACACAGGTAGAATTCTATTAATGTCGAGGGCTTTTTATTGTTGTTGTTTAAGATACCCAATAATAAAATATAGCTGGGTCATGAAACACAAAATCATATAGAAGTATATACTTTAGCAAATGAGTTTATTGCAAGAAACAAATATTAAAGACACGATTTTCTGTCAACATAGAGTGAACTTTTGCAAGGGTTCAAAGGCAGGTGAAATAGAAAATAAAAAGACTCCTACAGTGACACGAAAGTATTACCAACTACTAAAAATTTTTAGTGTGGTGCTAGTTTGTTTAGTTACCAACTGCTAAATATTTGAAAAATGACCAGGAGGAACACAAAAGTAAATTAGAAGTGCTCTTTAACAAAATCCATGAAATGCTTCTGAAACGGTGAAAAAGAACAGGCACCCAAATGGCTGCAGAAAGAGTCAGAGATCCGTGTGGACTGTGGAGGCGGTCAGGGAGGTTGAGCTTTTATTCTCCTGGTCTTTAGGTCCGTCGGGTTTTCGCTGACCTGGTGTGGAGGATGGCAGTGCCATCGCGCAGGATGCCGAGTGAATCCTGTTGGTGTGTGGTCCGTCGGTGGTGGTGGGCTGAGGAACTCATGTGCCCTTGATCCCTCATGTGGGGGAGCTGGGAGAGAATTGTTCCTGCTTCCTGCCTTTCACCTTCTTTCCTCCAATCCTCATGCCTCTTGTTCATCAAGGCTCCTTGGTGGCACCCTCTCATCTCTGCACAAATCAGGTCTCTCTTTCCTCTAGGTATATCCACACTACCTCATTGGGCACCTCCACTAACTGTCTGTTCTCAGGACTGACCACTTCATATCTGTATGAAACAGACCTGTTTCCCGTCTCAGTCCCCGGAGGATCGGACTGTGTTGCATCTGAAATCTCTATATTTTCCCTTCCCTGTCATTTTATCCTCAATGAAACCTGAGTACTCAAAACTTCCTTATAAGAAACGAGACACTCAAACAATTGCTCGCTAAGTTTATGTCTTCGTTGGTTACAGACCGAGTGGCCACTGTAACTTCTACAACGTTGCTGCGGTCTTGGATATCCAAGGGTGTTGATTCAATTTCATTATTTTAAAAATTCTGGGAAGGCTGGCAGGGCATGATGTGAAGTCAGAATTCAGTTGCTCCTCAGAAAGGCTCTGAGAACCCCACGGAGGCTTCTGATGGAGGTTTCTTGGTTATATGCATTTTGAAGGTAGGATTAGGGTTTGACATCATGTCTCTTAGGTGAATGGAAATAATATGTCTTTGTGTTGGGATGAAGCTGGCTTCTTCTGAAATGTCCTGAGTCTCCTTTTATCTCTGGCTGGAAGAGTTTTAATGAAGATCTCAGTAATCTGATTATGCGGGGCAAAGTGTATGTCATTAATCTATTGTCACAAAAATGCTGTGTAACAAATTCCCCAAATTTCAGTGGCTTCAAGCAGTAAGCACTTATTTAGCCGTAAGCCTGTGGGTTGGCCATTCAGGTTGGCCCTGGCTAGCGGCTGGTCTTGCTGCTTCCCTCTCACATCTGGGGTTTTGGTTGTCTATGGGATGATCAGAGATAGTCTTGGTGCAGTGATTGGGATGGATGACTCTACCCCAGGTGCCTCCCAGCCTCCCGTGTGCATCAGGCCATGTTCCCAGGCTGGTGGAAAGTTACAGAAAAGCAAATGGGAACATGTCCTGCCTCCTGAGGCTTCAGCTAGGACCTGACATGCTTGTCTTTCTGCTATATCCTGTTGGCTGAAGCAGATCATACGGGCAGCCCAAAAATAAGGGTTGGGAAGTAATTCTACCGCTTTAGTGGGAGGAACCACAAAGTCATGTGGCAAAAAGCATGGATGCAGGAGGGCTTGAGTGTTGGGACCATCTTTGCTCTCATCCATAGTGAAAGTGAAACAAGCTAGATACCCTCTGTCTTCTCTGTGTCTCTAGAACACTTACAGGGTGTTTCAATGACCTGTATGTGCAATAAACTAACCTGGCAGTTTAGGACAATAGCGCGTTTATTATTGGTCACAGTCCTGTGGGCTGACTGGACTCAGCTGGAAGCTGCCTCCCTGGTGTTGGCAGGGGCCATGGTCATCTGAGAGATGGTTCTCTGGACCGTCCAGGACAGCTTCCTCCCAGGCCTGGCATTGGTGCTGGCTGCCCGCTGGGCACTCGATCCTCTGCCATGTGCTGTGCTGCTGAGGGTATGGGGACTTGGTTTCAGGAAACAGGAAGGGGAAGCTCCCAATTCCAGTCCTGGGCCTGGGGCTCCTGAAACATTCCCATTGCTGTGTTCTCCAGGTCAGAGGCAGCACAGGTCAGCCTGGGTTGGAGGGGAAGGGGACAAGCTTCAACCCCTGGCATGAGCGGCAGCACGTGTGTGCAGGCAGGGAGGAACTGTGCAGAGTGAACTTGCCCAGAGGGACTGCCCAGACAAACGGAAACAGCCGTGTGCTCCCCAGAGCAGGGTCATGCAATGGGAGGCCCTCCCTTTGTCAGGACAACGTGTGGATGCTGAACGACCGGGCTGAATGATCCCAGGACCAGAGTGCTGTTTTCCTGGGGCACCTACTGCTCTTAGGAGAAGGAGAATTGAGGATTCCTGTGCTCCCAGAAACCTTCAGCGAGGCCCAGTCTTCTCCCAGCCTCTCCTCCCATGAGACCACCGGGAGTCTGGGTCCCCTTCATCTGCCTCCCGGTTCAATTTCAGGACTGCACTCCACTCGCTTTGCGTTTTCATAACTATCATCCCCCAGAGGGACTTACTTTAGGACTTGGGGGGGGAAAGTGCATATTTTCCAAGACCTAGACATTTGGCTATAGAAAAAAATAATGCCTAAGGTTCCCAGCATCATTTTCTTGGCCAGCCAAGCTTTCCCAATCTTGGGAGGCCTCCAGAGACACCTTTCAGGAGGACAGACTCAGAGCACACCGGTCGTGAGAGGCGCTCGGGTTGGAAGTGGTGTGTCTGTACACTGAGAGGTCGGAAGGGCGGGCTGTGAATGTGGTGAGGGCTCCTGTGGGAGCTTTCCCGCATCACTGGAGTCGTGTGCTCCATAGCAGATTCAAAAGACAGCTTTTGAAAATGTCTGTAATCATATTATTTTTATTTTGTGATTATTACTGCAAAGAGCCATTGTAAAGAAGAAAAACAAAAAAAATACAGGTGATAAAAAGCAAGTGATGGCACCTAAAAATGTAAATTAAAAAAGATATTTTTAGTGCCAGAAACAACTGATGGTTTAGCTGATGTGCAGAGCACCAGAGACTTGCTGGGGACCAGTTACTAGAGGCTGGAGCGTGGAAGGAGGGGCCCCATGACGGGAGAGGTCAGCCTAGAATCCAGCTGCAGTCAGAACCATGACCAAGCATTCAGGGACACTGGGCAGCAGGTGTCAGTGGTGGGAAGGTGAGGGGAAGAAATACCCCTCTCTTCTCTCACCCCTACTCTCCAGAAGGGGCAACATCAACCGACTCTGACAGGTGGCCAGGAGGCCAGGCGCCCTGCTGAGTCCATCTGTAGAGGTCAGCCCGGGGGCCTGGGACAGCACGGGGAGCCTGGGGACTGGCTTGGTGGAAGGGGAGGGGCACAGACAGTGGTCAGAACACGCCACTTTATAATCCGAATAAAGGAATATATATTGGATAAAGTATTTATTTCTGGAAAATTCCTGGAGTATGGGCACCTTTTAATTTATTTAAGGCATGTTTTAAAATGTCCCTTCAAAATATGGGTTGATACCTGCTAATTAAGTCAGACCAACGTTTTTTTTTATGGGCTCTGGAGTCAGATAGGCTGATCTGATTTGAATTTTGGTTCAGTTGCTTATTAACCAGGTGATCCTGGACAAATCAGTAACCTTTTTGAGTCTTGAAGTCCTCATCTGGACAATGGGAATGACAGCTCTCAGCATTGTGGTCGGAATGAAATGAGAAAATGTGTGTGGAGCCCTTAGCAGTCCAGGAACTGGCACTGAGATACTCAATGAACAGTAGCTGTGTTGTTTACTAAGAACTTAATAACGAAGCCAAAAAGGATGTGCAGATGGTATTAGTTATAACGAGATTTCGAAGTCCTGCTTTCTCAGTGTAATGGGAAGTATGCTGCATTTTAGGCTCATGGCTTTCTTTAGCGGATCCCTCATTAGATGCTGCCCATGTGGAAGGATGTGTGGATACTGCATGCGATGTGGGTCAGTTTGAGCTAGATTTTTTTTGGCCTCGTCGGACTGGGGTTCTTTTGGGCTCAATCTAAGTGATTTTCCCAATGGAAGGGAAGTGAGTTATCCAGTCACCTCATGGACCACACAAACCTGGAGGATGCCTTTAAGCAAACATGCTTAATGCAAAGCTATGATTCTTTTGTCACTGGTGAATTGTGTCCAGTCCTGCTTGAACATAAAACAAAGAAATGTAGTTTTTTTATTATTATTTATGTTCTTCCTTGTTTTCTTCTAGCTGTCAGGTTCTGAACAGCTGGTAGATGGGCTTGCTTATTGAAGGACATGATTCAGACTGTCCCGGACCCAGCAGCTCATATCAAGGTAAGTCCTGTCTTGGCCGGGAAGCCAGGCCTGGCTTCCTCTGTGCCTAGATTTTCATGGATAGCTGCCCACATATCAGTCAATTAGGGGCCAGTCAACACAGCCCAGGAGCTAAGAAAACGGTTTTTACTTTTATAAATGATTGAAAAAGAAATCAAAAGAAGTGTATTTCATAACACGTGTGAATTACATGAAATTTACATTTTAGTGTCCATTAAGAAAGCTTTATTGGAACACAGCCCCGTGCATGCATTTCCATATCATCTGTGGCTGCCTTCACTGCACAATGGCATGGCTGAGTAGGTTCGACAAAGACCATACGGCCTGCCAGCTGAAAATATTTACTGTCTGGACCTTTTCAGAAAAAGTTTGCTGAGTTAATATATGAAGTCACGTCCAAATTCTTCTAACTTCTGTTTTAATTCCATCTCCTTTATACTTACCTGGGGTTAGTGAGGAGGAGACAAGAGGGTGAATGGTTGGATTTCCGATGTAGGAACGTTGTTTTATCTGGGCTCGCTGACACTCAGCAGCCCGTCACCTCACACCTGTGCTGGCTGCTTTCTGACCTGCACTTCCTGAGGCTGTGGCGGTGAGAGGGTGAGGAAGTGAGACTTGTGTCAGAGGAGGTCCCTGAGAAGACTCTGGCCCATTTATTTTGACACTACACATACGTGTGGGTAATAGCTACAGGGAGGAAATGAGATGGTAGTTTTCATATACTTGACACAAATAAAGACTGCAGAAAAAATTGGGGCTTAAGCTACCTTATCCAAATAGGCTGTCTACGCCTGTTCTGGTTCAACTATATCTGTGCTGGCCAAAGAAATTGACTGCACAGCCAGTTCTTCGCTTTCCCCATATTAATTCCTTTTCCTTAAGTGGTGTGGTTGGTTTTACTAATTTATATCCCTTGCCTAAAACATTTATTGAAAATGGAAAGCGGCTTATAATTGAAAGTTTGTGGTATTAAAAAAGGTACCTCTTTTTGAATAAAATAGAAAATGCCTTTCAAAATCTCACACATACAATTACACATGGACACACACACATTTTAAAACAATACATTTGGTGAGGTGTTCTGGGCCATGTGCAGCTCACATGCATACACATTTACTTTCTTTGAAAATGGAATTGGAGGTAATAAGAATTTCAGGGCATTCCTTGAGCTTTGTGGGTGCTCCTGCAGTTTCAGAGACTGGGTTGTTGACAATTCTAAATTTTGCCCAGGGTCACAGAGGAGCAGATGCTTATGGGGACACTATAATTTGATTTCTGAGTGATATTTCATTGGGCTGTGACAATTGTGTTTCCAAAAAAATGCAAGTGGGATATCTCTTGTGGACGTGATTAGTTTCTTCAGAAGTGTTGGGAATATATTTGATCAGTGTGTCTACGCTACCGCACACGTAAAGTGGGAGAAAGACTTTCTTTAATTTTTAGTGTCTGCTAACCATGAAGCTACATGAGGCAAAGAAAAGCTCATGGGGAATTGAGACAATAAATATCTTCTGTAGTTCAGAACGTGAAGGAAGGCAACTGAAATTCATTTTATTGGCATTCCACACCACTGCTCCAGGCAACCCAGAAGGAAATGATGAAGTCAGCAAGAAAGTATTACAGACTTAAAAAGATAATTCATAAAGCTGAAACAATTCTATGCAAACTTGAAAACACCATCTTTGAAAGTGGAGCTTGGTAGAAATATTCTGTATCGGATTTCAGGAATGAACTGTTTTCAGCTCTGATTTAACTTATTGTCATCATGTTGGTTGATGTCAATATAAAATGAAAGATAATTTTGAGAAATCATAACTCTGAGAGTTTTTAAAAAATAAATTTCACCCCAAATAGCTTCTGTGTGTTTGGAGACATGAACTGGCAATAAGAAGTGTGGTTATTAGTAGCTGATATTGACTGTGAGGTAGAATTATATTAAAGATGTTTATTTCCTTTATAAACCTGTCAAAATTCTACCTATTAGAATTTGAACAATTATTTTTGTAATTCTTTTTTTTATATGAAATTGGGGTTCTTGACAACAAAGTTGGGAGAATAATTTTCTTTCACCGATTCATTAAAATGCCTGATGTTGGTGTTTATGAAGTAAAATTTCATGTGCGAGAAGTTTCTGGCTTTGGGCTGTGGAGTGCTGCTGTTATTTCTGGGAAGGAAGTTCATATAAATGGCACATGAATGATTCCTCTTGATGTGTTAACATATAGAGTGGAAGATTTCGTTTTTGGTTCATTGCTGCTAAAATGTTTTTGTTATCTGAGAAGGACTTGAGTTTTCCACAGAAGTGACTTAACACTGTAGGTGCAATGCCCGTGAAGGCTGTGTGTCTCCACAGTCCTGTCTGCAGGCCATCCTTGAGGAGAGGAGCATTCTTTCATCTTAGAGAAATTCACTCTGCACAATTCATTATGACTCTTTTCTGCCAGAACAAATGGCTTTTACCCTTTTATGTGTTTAAGGAGCTAGAAACAATGAAAAAGGAAAAAGAAGGATAGATGGTTGATAACTGTGGAATGTAAAATATTCTTGATCTAAATAGTGCAAGAATTGTGGCAGTTCGTTTACAAACAAAACGAGCGGAATGTTTATTTTAGCTGCTTCTCTGTTAGTGATAATTGTAACTGTCATTAAGCATAATTTGATTTGCCTTTCTTTGCAGGCCATTCCAGGTACCTATATTTATTTATTTATTTATTTACTTGCTTACTTAAAGGCATGGTCTCACTCTGTTGATCAGGATAGAGTGCAATGGAATGATTACGGCTCACTGCAGCTCTGCCTCCCAGGCTCAAGCAATCTTCTTGTCTCAACCTGCTGAGTAGCTGGGACTACAGGTGTGTGCTGCCACACCCAGCTAACTTTTTATCTTTTTGTAGAGACAAGGTCTCACTCTATTACCCAGTCAGTCCTCCCACCTCAGCCTTACAAAGTGCTTGGATTTCAGATGTGACCAAGAACTTTTTTTATGACAGAAATCATACTAACGTACCATGCGGATGTACCCTTAGCATGTTAGGTGTATATGAAGATACAGCTCTGTGAAGGGGTAGAGCTGTCACAACCAAAGATGCGCCTGGACAATTACCCACGGCAGAGAAGAAAAAGACTAGCAAGTCCACTTTCTTAGGATCCTACAAATCTTTTTTGTCATTAATTCTAATTCTGATAAAGCATTTTTAAATTCACATGATTGCATTTCCTAAAAAGAGTTTTGTCTCTGTAATATTTTCATCGACTAATACTTGCTAAAGAGGACTAACTCCCTTGCTGTTCGCCAGCCACTCTTGTAGAATAATACGCATTTTGAAGCTGGTGGAATGAAGACTGGACTGAGAGGGGAACCATCTGCATGTTAGTTCTGCTCCGTGGTCTCCAGCTGTGTATCCCGGAGATGCAGGTCACAAAAACCCTCTGAACTTGGCGTTCCTACCTAGTTTCATGTTGTGGATAAGAACACATTCTGGCTCGATTCAAATCATACTCTGTCATTTAGTCACTTGGTGATTTTGTACAAGTTCCTTCATTTCTCTGTGCCTTGGTCTCTTTTTATAAGAAACATAAGCACCTGTTTCACAGCGTTAGTGGGAGATTAAATGAGTTAGTACACTTTAAACCCCAATGAGTGCTAAACAATTGTGAGCTCTTACTGTGATCTATAAAGTGAGGGTGGCATACCCATCTTATATATAAAATATCATTCTCTCTCTGGTATCTATGAGCAACATGGGTATGTCTTACAAAGCAGTGAGTGGAGTGAAAAATACGGAAAACAGAACGTTCTCTGTAGCACATGCTACTTACGTGCACAAAAAGTTATATGCTCCCCAAGCAACGTCATAGGGTTTTCAAGGGTACATGCATATGTAAGACATTTAGATCACATTGGAGTGGGGGCTTGCTTCTGTGGTACATGCTGACTAGTTGCTTTGAGAAGTGGTTAGGGGATAAGGGAAAAAATAATTACATGCAAATAAAACACGTTAATAACAGTGATGCTTTTATGTGGCACAGTGGGTCCTCCGTACTGGTAGGAGCATGAGTTTGGACAAGCACTTTTGTACTGGCTTGGTATTACCTAGTAAAGCTGAAGCTGTGCCTAGCCTGTGATCCAGCTTATTTATTCATTCAGGATCTACCTGGTCACCAGGAGGTGCATATGAGTGAAAAAACAGAACAACCCAAATGTCCATCTACAGAAAAATGGATAAATAACCTATTGTACTCCACCAATGGAGTACTATACAGCAGTGAAAAATAAACTAAGAGTGTCTCTCTGTAGCCATGTATCAATGTGAATGGTTCTCATACGTGAGTAGAATAAAGTCACAGATTATCTGCAATATGATTCCAAAAATCAGGATTTAAAAGAGGCAGAATTTAAAAGCGTAATAATTCAGAGAAACATAATATGTGCTGAAAAGAGAAACAAGGACAAAATAAACACGTAACTCAGAATTGAGATCACCTTGTTGGGGAGGGGAGAGTTTTTGGAGAAGGGCAGAGGGGGCTCCTGAGGTCCTGGCGCTGACTTTTGTGGGCTAGGAAGAACACGCAAAGGTGTTTGCTTCTTAACCTTTAAATTGCGCCAATAGATTAAATGTCCTATTTTGTGTGTGCTATTTGCAATAAAAAATACTAAAATGAGAGAGAGGAAAAATTAGATGGCTCACAGTGAAGCCATTCTTGGGAGAAAGTTACTTTCTAATTGTAAACCACATTGTACTTTAGCACATCATCCACATTAGAGATCACTTGGTCTGATGCTGTTCTAACTGCACGGAAAGGTGGGAGATACTGCTGGTCAAGTGACTCCCTTGAAGCAGAGGCTCTGCCTGTACCCAGGCTGAGCATGGGCCATTTCCAAGTTGAGCGTGTCCTCCTGCCTTGGCTTTGTGAGTTTTACCAACCCACCCTTTTGCAATGAGGAGCGATTTGGAGACTGTTCCTGACTTGGGCTTGTTTATTCATTCAACAAACATTTA